AGTCCTCATGAAAAGGAAGCCAATTCAGAGCCTGCCTCCCAGGGTCTTCTGAGGAGAGTGAACGTGAAATGGCCACGTTTATAAATACGTAGGGAATATCAGCATTAGGCTTACTCAGCTCAGGCATCCTGCCCTGTGCTAGTCAGAAGCTAGACAGCTATGGCAGAAGTTTCTGCAGCTTTCAAGAGACACATACCAGGCACCCTGACCTCAGTGGTGCAAAGCCCACATGGGTAGAGGGCGGCACACGCCAAGCCTCCTGGGCTACAAGCCCAGACCCAGAAGTGCATTTACAAAAACCATTTCCCTAGGGTGGTTCTGAATCAAGTGACATGTGGTAAGCATGCAACCAAGATGTTTTCTAAGCTGTTATTGTTTAAAACAATTGGAGTGCACTCTGGGTTCCTCTCTGTTCAGGCTCTATCTTCTGTTTAGAGGTGGCTTACCTCTGAAGCCACTTCATGCACTGGGGCCCTGGGCAGGGGCAGAGTCCTCCTCCACTGCTAATTGAGAATCAGGCTGAAACACCTACATCTGAAACAAATGCCTTAACACAAACACATTTTACCCATCTAAATCAATTCCACCATCCTATAAATATTGACATTCACACAGCTCAATTTAATCCATGCAAAATACTTAATATCCATTGTAAAGAGCCAGGCTCAGCCTTGACAATGAAATGTCACAGGCTACCAAAACAAACAAAAAAATCCTAGAGAAACAGCCTAAGTTATTTTGTCATTTTTTATTTAATAAACATTTCCACTAAGAAAGCAAGACCTAGTACTATAATTATGTCAGCAGATAATAATTAAACCTGGTCTCATTAGCCTTCTGGTATATTTTTAAACAAAAACAAAGACTCTCTGTGTATATTCGGAAGCTTTAATGTGAAGCACACACTTGGCCGTGCAGACCTGTCAAGAGGGCTGTCACCATGAATCCATTTGGTGTCCGTTTGGTGTCCGCAGTACCATCAGGCTGGAGGAGCCACAGAGGCTCTAACACGAAGCGTGGGCAAATCGGCAGTGTGAACAGACATGTCATTTCCTTCTCTCTGATTACTGGGCAGGTAAGCCTGTGGCCTGCTGATTTCCATGAAAGGACAATCCTCACCATGTGTGGTGAGCATGGGTGACAGCTGTGGCCTTTCCCGACGTCCATTTCAGCTGTGCCCCCCTTGCAGGCATGTTGGGAAGATGCTGAGACAGAAGAATGCCCCAAAGCCATCAAAGGGGCACTTTCTCTGTGTTTACTCTTGGTGCTATTTACTAAAAACCATCTAGAGAAATTCATTTTGTTCCCTTGATGCTGTTTGGACCCTCAGCTTCTGTCTTCCCTTTCAAGCACTGATAAGAATAACCGGCACTCTTTCCAGATGCCAGACCGCGGACAGGGTCTCTCTTTCCCTCCCCTCTCCTGCTCCCCTATGCGCAAAGACCTGAGAGAAAGGCCAGGCTGGAAGTCAGCTTTCCAGAGGCTCCGGCAGATCAGGCGCGTGCAGCACGTGTGTACGTGTGTGTGTGTGTGTGTGTGTGTGCATGAACAAGGAGAGGCAAGGAAAAAGTGGAAGGATTTGAATGTCCGGCCTCCCCCCTCCACGCACACCCCAGACAGCTACATCAGGCAGTCTCCTGGGGTCTGAGGCTCAGATCTGTGCCTGAGAACAACTTGAGAGAAGGCCCTGGATTCTCGGGGAGCCCTGCCAAAGCTGTTGCTCCATGTGGCTAAAACATCTGCCTGAGTGAAGGAGCTGCCACTCCCAGGCGAGCCGCTGGGCCTGGGAGAAGTGGGGCGGGAACCTCCAGGAGCTTTCCGACAGCCCGGAAACGTCCCGACAGTGTGGGACAGACAAGAGTGGCCTGGAGGGACTTCCTAGACGATTCAGTCCCTGCAGCAGACTGCTTCAGCCAGTGACAGCCAACTCTGAGAGGTGCAGTACAGCAGAGCTGGACACTCTCGGGCAAGTACTGATGAAAGCAGAGTCAGGACCGTCCTGTGCACCATCTGCTGCTGCTGCGCTCACTCTCCGCTCAACAGCGCGATTCCTGCGCTGTCAGTGCGCACACTACCGCCCCCCACGCAAACCCTCAGCAGACCACGTTTCTAACTCATTCTTACTCTCTAACCCAGAACTCTCACGTACCGATGGTCAGAGCACCCCCCTCCACCCCGGGCAGCCACATCCTGTCCCCGGCTCTCCGGCTCCTGTTGGCCTCCGTCTAATGCGCCTCATACTCAGACTCTTGGTCATCTGATGCGCTCAGAGGCCAGCTCCACTGCCGCGATTTTTCACCAGGTGCTGAAATGGGAGAACTGCATGAGACATGGACTTTCCAAGCACTCTCCCACGACTGCCTGTTTCACAAATAGCTCCTCCAAAGAGCCTTGTTCCGTCTGAGCAGGCATCTGCTGACTCACCCGGGCGCACACAACTTCCAGGAAGTTTGGCTGGCAGTGGACGCTGGCTGCAAAACCAAAGTGATTGTTTTTCCATTATTCCATTACCAGCTGGCAGAGAGGCCACATAACCAAAATAGGAATTTCTGCTTCAGCCTGAAGTCATGGCGACCACATGGAGACAGCCTGGTGCTGTCACCACTGGGTCATCCCTGTGATTCCAAATCTTACCTTGTCTAAGCTCAGCTGAAGGTCTTTAGCCCCAGCTACCTGCTGAATTGTTGAGGACCTCTTTTCATGCCAGAACCAAACATCCTCAGATGTAGATAAATCAATTCCAGAACAGAATTTGTTTATTGAAGTTAAAGTGGTAAATTCCATTCAGAATTTTTAAAATTTTACAGTTTTTCAAGAAAATAATCCAGCAAATGGTGACTAATTCCTAAGAGAAATATAAGGGAGGGCTGTTTTGACTCCTCAGGCCTTTACTTCCATATTATTACATGATTATATTCTTGTTATAACCTAATTACAACAGAGAAGAAATGCTGGCACTAAAATCCACTTGTCAGCATTAAAAGCAATTTCTACAACAATGGGAAAAGTCAGTTCAATAGGAAACCAAACTTTAATATCTCGCCTGCCCTAAGCTGGCTGTCCAGAGGCAAGACCAGCTCAAACCAGACTGCGTGTCTTCCTGGTCAACACGCCACCTCAGGCACTTGGTTAGGGGCTGTCCCCAGAAGCACGTTTTTCAATGTATTTAATCTCAGGTTGACTTGTATTATTCTTTAGACTTTAGGACTCTGCAACAGGTTTGCAAGGATGACAAGCTCTTTCAGGACTCTTTCAAAGTTGGTTCCCTCTAGGTATTTTTCTTTTAAAAATGTTAGTGGACATAAATTCATTTCTTGAAAAGTGTCACACAACAGTCTGTAAGTGGTTGGGTCCTGAGTTTAAATGGTTAGGAAAAGCTTCTCTGAAGGTACTCAATAAACGCAAGAAAAGGTGAGTCTGCCACATTAGCTAGGAAAGACTGTCCTTAAATGTCATGGACTTAATTTTTTTTTTTTTTTTTTTTTAAAAAGCACTTAAGAGGCAAACTTGACTTGAGTGTAGCATCCTGGGAGAGTCTAATAGTTCAAGGAAACAGAACTGACCTTACCGCGAGGTAGCTGTGTGGCTGAAATGATCCCCAGGGTGAGGTACCTTTGCCAAGCACCCGCTAGTACACTGGCTGCAGCTGCAGCCAGGCCGTGAGCTCTGTGGCCTCCGAGGCTCCTCACCCCGAGGGGTCCCGGGATGAACAGCCATCGGCCTCTTGCTCCTCCTCCCAACTTTGCCCATGACGGACAAATACTCCCAGGTGTGCTCTGGGGCCAGGGTCCTGCCACATACTCCATTCAGGTTTATTCACTCTGTTTCCATAGCAACCCTGGGAAGGAGGCACTATAATTCTCTGCATCTGGCAGTTGAGGAAACTGAAGCAAGGTTAAATGTCTTACTGTGCCAGCTCTTGATTGTATTCTGTCACCTCCAAATTCACCCTTTTTGCCTGCTCTTTTAAAATGCATCCAGGCCCTTTGAATGATCTCCCTTTGCCTGCTAGCACAGTAGTAAGCCTTTTGGTAGGAAACGCTAGAGAGATACTGCAGGACAGGAAGGCACTGCTTTCTGGGTCCTGCTTAGCTCAGCCAGGCCCCTGCAGTGCACACTCACTGGCCTTCCTGAGCTGGTGGTAGAGCAGATGGCCACAGAGAAGACTGCTCCTTGTGCAGGTTTCTGGCAAGTTCCAGAAGGTGGATTTTCAACAAGTTCCATCTGCACACCAGCACGGAAACTTCTGTTATCTGCTGAACCACACCATTCCCTGTCACCGGGGGCAGGAGGGGACTCTTCTAGAGGTAGCACTACTCCTTTCACCTGGTGTTCCTACCTGTGTTCTTTGGAGGAGTCTTAACTTCTCATGGTGCCCATCCTCTGTGTGGTTAATAAGTGCATTAAACTTTCTCAAACTGCCCTGTGGGTTCCTTCCTGGATCTTGGCTGATGCCCTTGCCGAAGGCTGCAGACCGGGTGCGGGGCTCCAGAGCCTTGCTCCTGCTATCATTGTTAGCCTCTCATGGATGGGAAGGAGGTCAAGCAGAGGGCATGGGCAGGGCAGAGCAGAGCAGGAGGGTGTCGGGGAGAACCCTGTGGTGCAGTTCCGAAGGCACTGGCTAGCGGACAGGGAATGGACAGGCATTCTATGTGCTATAGAGGGTCGGACAGGGAGGCTGACACCATGGGAAAGGGACAGAGGGGTCCTGCTACATCCTCAAAACTTCTCTCATTCCTGGGGGTACTCCTGGTGAGTCTGGGGGGCCTTCAGGATCCTAAATCTTGCTCCCAACAGTTTTCTCTTATACGAGGTCTCTGGGAGGCAATGTTCTCCCATGGGGCATCTGGAATCCATGGTAGCCAGAGGGGACAGAGGAGGAGAGTGTCACCCAGGGGTTCCCATAAAGACATTTCACACCATTGTTAACCTGTCGCCACTGTTCAATCCAGATCAGCATACGTAAGAGAGAAACACTTGAATTTTTGAATAATTGCATTTATTTCCTTTTTGCTATAAAAACTAGCTTTTCTTAACTTCCTGAATACGTTTATAAATACTGGACATTGTAAGTGTTTGGAAAAACAAATAGCAGAGTTGGAGCTCTTAGGCCACTTTAACAAAACAGCTTTTGAGGAAGGGGTGCGTGTGCAGAAAACACTGATGTCCCTACAGAGTTATCAGCTGATTCTGCCCTCAGCTTCCGGTGAAACAGACTCTAGCTAAGCCAGGTCAGGCGCTGTGGGGGGCTGGGGAGAGAGGGCAGCTGAGGGAGGCAGTTTGCTCTCTCTCTCTGCAGTCTCTGGCATTAGGGATGCACTTTTAAAACATGCTGTGAGGACCCCCATTTTGGATTTTGCAAGAATTGGCAGATGTTGGGATTTGTATATAAAAAGTGATGGATTTTGGTCCCAGAAATCTTATTTAAAAAAAAAAAAAAACATCCCCCAGAAACCAAAACACACTTGAGTATACAAGGCCCATCTGCTTGGTGGAAATGGCCGGGAGAAGCCCTAGACACAAAGGTAAAATTGGGAAGTTAAAAAAAGAAAAAAGAAAGGGACAAAGACTATCGGGTTCCATGGAGTCAATGTCCCTGCAAGACTGCTGACCTAGTTCCTCAGGCGTGCTGTTTGTTTGGGTCATTCAGGAAGTGATTCTTTCCTTTATGGAAAAAAAAAAAATCAAAAGTAAAATACGTGTTTTCATGTTGTGAAGGTAATGCTAAGTTTAATGGCTTATCCAGTGTTTGAAGTCTTCCCAGGTCCAGGTTGTGGTCAGCAGGGCAGCCCAGGTCAGACTGCGTTCCTTTGAAGGAGCTGGTCCAGTAATTGCTGGAGAGATAGGGAAACAGAGATGTCAAGTGCATGTTCATGGCTCTGGGCCACACGCCTCATACCTGCTGGCACGAGCCGTTACCTTTTTGAAGACTTCAGCTCGGAGTCTGTTGCTCTGTAAGATAACCCTTTTCTTTTGCTCTTCTTTCTTCTTTTTAACTTCTGGCAAGTTATTATAGATTCTGAAACAGACACAGAGAACATTCTGGATGGTAGCAGAGCTTGTGTCTGGGCACAGAGCATCTTGCCTTGTCAGAGCCTCTGACACTTCAAAGAAGACTAGGCACATGGGCTTCCTTCACGTGGGGAGATGCCAACATGAAGGCTTCCCCACTGTCCCCAGAACAGCTCCACACTGGGGACAGCACCTCGTCTCTGTACTTGTAGGGCCAGTGTAACAGCCAAGCTGGAGGGGCCAGGTATTTCCTTGGAAGTCACTTCCCTTGTCCTTCCACCCTCAGGGATAATTAAGTAACCTGTAAATCGGGGGATTCTAAACCTTCTGCTTTGGATTCTGAGTGTTATTCAAACTTGCCCCCCAAACCTTTTTTTTTTTTTAATTTTTTTGCCACCCAATGATTACCTTCTAGAGACTTGGAAGGCGGAACAGATAGAAGTGGCAGGAATCACAATGCTGGAACAAACATGCCAGAAGGTGTGTGTGCCTCCTCTTACGAGTCTGCACGTCTAATTAAGCTGTTTCCAAATACATCCTGGGCACAGTTATTATGCCCTTCTCTTATGTTAAAGTGGGAGTTCCCAAGTTACCGCGGGACTCTTCTTCTTTCCTCTTTCCTAACAGAAACTCTTTACATGCCCATGTCAACCAGTATTGCTTCTAGAACCCACCGACTAACAGGGCCACTGCAGCCAGAGCTGATGGTTGCCATACACATGGCACTCAGCTAAAAGATCTCTTTTTTCTCTCATGTTTGAAAGCCCAATGCAATCTGCTCCATTATCAAAACTATAGAACAAAGTACAAAGATAATGATGATAACAGTGTCAGCAGGTGACATCTTAGTTACCGGGCACCAGGCAGACCCCTTGACATGAATAAACTCAACCCACACGACCACTGGAGGAGGCAGGTGGTGTCCCATTGTTAGAAAAATGAGGAACCCAGGCCCTCATTTACCAGGAGATTTGGTGAAGCCATGCTGTGGGCTCACAGGGAGCTGGCACTCAGACCTCAGTCTCTGATCACACAGCGCTCTACACAGCGCTCACCCAACTAGACAGAATGAAGCTGCTGGTGGGTGGGGAAATGTTGAGAACACACATCCTTCATGTATTCCTGAATACTCCAAACATGATTCCAGAAAGGAGCCCATCGGGGATCAGAAGGAAGAGCTATCATGTCCCAAATCTCCCCAGTGGAAAGTCCTCCAGATCCATGGATATTGCTTCCTGACTCTGGCCATCCAAATCAACTGAGGAGTTTAAAGTAAAACTCACAGACCCCACCTTGGTTGTTTCTGATTTAGTAGTTTCTTAAAAGAGATCCCCAAATGCATCATGGTCTTACCCATCCCATGGGCCATACTCTGCCTAGAGTCAAAGCCACAAGGAAGACAATCTGAGTCTTCTGACATATTACACTGTGAGAAAAGCAAGCTGTGGAGACAACATGGTATGACACCATTGTGGTCAAACACCACGTAACTCTTCATGAACAAACAGAAGTCTACTTCAAGGTAGAGAGAAGGGAGACACAACTGAGGTCTTTGCAGCAGATGGGCTGGGGCTGGGGAGGAGGTTGCAAGGGGAGCAGGAGTTATGAGGGGACTTGAGCTTTATCTCCATTGTCTCACTTTTTTCCAACTGAAAATATAATTTAACAGTAAAATTAATACCAGAGAATGCAAAAACAAGGAAAGCTCCAGGTGAGCCAGGGCCAGCACCCAGCCAGGGCACGTCTCACAGAGCAGAGAGAAACAAGATTGCTGAATCCTTCAGAGACCAGCTGGGAGAGCAGTGACCCGGGTGCAGTGTCACCAGCTCTCCTGTCTGCTTTGAGCCTCAGTTTCCTCCTAATGAAAGGATGGAGCAAGACTCTGCTACTGACGCTGCTTTAAGATCTATTATTTTAGTTGCTTGATTTGCAAAGCTCCATAGTAGTGGGTCTGGGGTTGAGGACTGTGTGTGTGTGTGTGTGTGTGCGCGTGTGTGTGCGTGCGCACACAGGGAGGAATCTGGCTATACTTTTCCCCTGCTAAATTGAAAACTAGATGCTTTTGGCAGAAGAAACACACAACTTTGTACTTCTGAAACAGCAAGACTTCAAACCCAGCAGCCTTTTATAAACCCTGGATAGAATGCTGTGAATCAGGCCTCTGATAGAAAGGTCCACCTTCTTGTCGCTTTCATTTCCTTATTGACAAAGGTGTTCCCTGGGGACAATCAAAGTGGTCTAATTATCATGGGAAACAACAAAATCACAGTAAAAGCAGAGATTTGGGGCTGGAGTGTATGTGGGGTTATTCTTTCTATCTCAGTGGTGTCTCTAAGTGCACTATCAGTTTGATTTAATTATTATAATCCCTCCTCGTGCCAGATGCTTTATTGAGCCCTGACGACTGTACTTGCATGAACGTGGCCAACACTGCTGAGCTTTAGCATTTTGGTTAAGCGGCCAGGTCTCTAGAAGAATGGCAGCTTTTGTGTGCACCAGGTTGGTGAGAATTAGTGGGAGTCTTGGCAAACAACCAGCCGAGCAGAACAGGGAGAATTCGCTGACCGGGGGCCACCAAGCCTGCCAGAGTCATAGCACCAGGAAAGCCGGCTGGTGGCCCCTCCAAGGCCCCACTAGCTCCCAGGCTCCAGCGGCTTCCAGCTTGGGTCCTGTCTTTCAGGCTCTGCTGCTGTCAGGCCCCTGGAGAAACCTTCAGAGGTGCAGCAACACGGCTCCAGCCCACAGCGATGATGCCCGCAGTTCCAGCTGGGAGCCAGGAGGTCTCTCGGAGACCAGTACTGGATTGGTCCACAATCAAAGACCCACCCCTTTCTATGTTTCTCCAAGAGCAGATGAGCATTCAGAGGCACACTCCTGCCGCTGTGCTCAGTTAAACCAGTGTTTTCAGATTTGCAGCCAAGAGGACATCAGACCTTAAACATGGACCTAGAAAGTGGCCTTACTGGTCAGCGCTGTCAAATCACCCCAACTCCCTCCCCAACTTCCTCCCATGTCACATAATAACCAGGTACCTTTTAGATCTCATATGCATCTCCTTCTCTGAAATGCACCTTTCTTTGGGTTTGAACAAGTTATCTGGAAAAAAAAGGCGGGGGGGAAAGATGATTAATTACAGAAGGTACAGAGTTATCACACAGCTCTGGAGTGGTGAAGTCGGCACATTCCCTGGAACTGTCCTCCTCTAAGCCACAGCCTGTGACAAACTCTACAGGGCTCACACCCATAAGTGGCTGCGCTGACCACTGAGTGGCCAGCGAAGGCCTGGGGTGCAGTGTTAACCGCTCCTCTGGGTGCTTCCAGCAGCCACAGTCGTGGTTTTCTGGGGGATGTGCCAGGGTCCACAGCCATTCCACTCATTCCACCAGATTTTCGAGGCCCCTAAGGACAAGGAAATCACCCAGCTGCCCTAGACATTTTGAGAGCAGGAGACCTCATCACACCTGCAGTCTTCCATCCGCGCTGCTTAGCCTCTGCCAGATGAAGACCACAGTCCCACTTTTCTAATGTCTAAAGAGTCATGGACAACACACATAGTCTTGTATCTTAGTGGCCTTTGATTAAGTGCAGAGTGGCAAAAAAAAAAAAAAAAACCCCACTGTGGTACTGCAATGTTCTTCTGTGTGAGTGAGAATACATCATGATCATCATGAGGTTTACATATGGCACACTGAAAAATGCTTTTTTTTTTTTAATGGCATGTACTCTTTTGCAGTAACGGAAAACAAGTCTGAAATGCCCAAGAGAGACTCAGCCCTACAAATTAGCCAAGGGTGGGGCACACGTGCCTGGGGTGCTTGTGGCCTGGGGTAACCTGGGCAGCTGCCATGCTTCCTGGAGCACCCAGATGGACAAGCTCACTGCATCATTTGGCAGAAGCAGACAGGTGGCCCAGTATCCTTGCTAAGCTGCAGGTAGGCGTGGGATCCCTGTGATCCCCGTGATCCCCAAGGAGCCCTGGGCTGTATTTCCGTTCATTTCTCCCCATGCCCAGGACTTTCTCCCTTGCTCATCTGACCAGTGGAGCCACCAAAGACAGCTCCAGGACATACAGAATTTTCCCAGACAATGCAAGAAGGTGGGATAGAGACAGGGCGACTAGGAAACGCCTTCCCCTCTGAGCACAATAAATATGTACAGTATGGAAAAAAGCATAGTGGCTGAGCTCACATCCTGCCCAGTGGTTTGAACTTACGTTATGACCCCACTCCTCAAAGGAGAGATGGGAGAAAAAAGAAATAGGAATATTCACAACTAGAGGAAATGTCACCCGTGTTTAAAAAGGCGGGGGACTCTCAGAGAAGGAGGAAGGTGACATTGCCACAGACTCCCACCCTAGCCTCCACTCTGGACAGGACCAGGCAGAGACAGGTGCTCTGGAAAATCCCAGGAAGGAGTGTCATCTAAGTCAGCTGGGGTCTTGGGTAAGCAAATATGTGAGAATGTAGGACTCCCACTCAGGGACAAGAAACCTCGAAGGAAGACAGGCAGGTGGGATTGGGGTTCCCCAAGAACTACACAAGATTAGGGTAAATTCAATATAGACAGACAGGTGTCCTGAAGGGATTAAAAAAAACACAAATTTCATTTGATTTCACAACTCAGTGATAGGTGGCCTATTCTGGAAATTGAAATTTTCTGTTTTCTTTTCAGTTTGTTCTTTACAGTATCGATACCACAATTATGCTTTGGTTTTATTTCTAAGAAACAACAACAACAACAAAACCATGAGCCCCCTGGCCCCTGCAGAGTTTGACGTGTCTGTTAAGGAGCATTCCTTAGGAGTAAGGGAGATGAACAGCCGCCCGTGGTGTTAAAGCAGATATGCTTGTTACTGCTGTGGATGATCACAGGCGCTCTTCAGAACAGGAACTGAGCTGCGCACACTCAGAAGTGGCCGAGGGAGCCCGGGCCAGCAATCACAGCCCTGTGGTGGGTGAAAGATGGCAGTGCTTGGCACAGAGTGCAGCCACGGGGCTCATCTACCTTGGACAGGTAGAGAGAGAGCCGTAGGGCCTGGAGACATGAATGGAGATGACCCCAGGCTTTGGGGTGAGCGACACATCCATTTGACAATTGCTGAGTTTTTATCTCCTTGGTGCTAGGCAGTAGGGACACAAAGATGAATAAGACCCAGAGCTCAGAGCCTAGGTTGAAAGTCAGATTAACAGGGCCTTTCAGAGCCAGGGTCAAAGGCATAGGGAGGGGAGCAGCCTCAGGGAGGAGTGGCCAGGTTCACCAGGCAGGAGGGGGACCTGGGGAGACTCCAGAGCACAAGACAGCTAGGACCAAAAAGAGGGGTCCCCCAGCAGCTTGAGGGGTTGGGTGTGGGAGGAAGGGGGCCAGGACCACTCCACCTGCCCCAGCCCCAGGGGTCTCATTTCATGGCATGGAAACCCACCCTGTGTGGTGTGCTCTGTTCAACCTTTCAGTGAAATCTCATCAATTCCTTTTTTTTTTTTTTTTGAGAGAGAGAGTGTTTTTAATATTTATTTTTTAGTTTTCGGTGGACACAACATCTTTATTTCATTTTTATGTGGTGCTGAGGATCGAACCCAGTGCCCCGCACATGCCAGGAGAGCACATTACCGCTTGAGCCACATCCCCAGCCCCAATTCCCTTTTAATCTAAATTCTGCCTTAATAAAATGAAAGTAACTGGAGAGAATGATTTTCAGCCTGCTTATGGGTCTTTTATAGATCATCCTTAAAGCTTCCCACGTGAGACTATAGTCACACTTACCTCCTACTGTTATTCAAATGGAGGGTGATTTTTATTTTTTTCCCTGAGAGAATCCCTAAGTCACCTATTTATACATTTCTGGGAACTTTTTCTCATGAAAAAAAAAAAAAAAAACCCTTGCACCTGGCTCCTCACTGGACACAAACCACAGGGCCTGCTGTCAGCTGACTCTGGTGAGGCCAGGCTTCCTTAAGCCTCTGCCTGCTTCCAAGTCAGCAGACAACCAGGTACCGAGGGGACTCAGAGCCTCCTCGAGAGACTGCTGCTGAACAATCAAAGGCCCGACAGCCGTCATTCTCCAGAAACACATGTGGTATGTATTACATGTGGCATGTGTGTCTGCATAGCATGTGCACAGACAGGGACAGGTGGCTTTCACATTCAAACAGCTGTCAGAGTCACCAGGAAGCAGCAAGCATCCTCTGACAGCAGCTCTTCCTTCCCTTGGAAACCTGTGTCCACAGCTCCACAGCAAAGCTTTGCTCTCCCCTGGGGCAGTGACCTCAATGATAATGGAGATCACAATAGGATTTAGGAGGACACCCTCCCAGGAGCTTGGTTTTCTTTAGTCACTCTGAGCTCTCAGAGACACTTCTTCCCCTACCTTAGACACTCCAAAACCAAGACACACCGACTCAGCAGCTCCTGCAATGGCTTGGAGTCTACACCTCCCCATAAAGAAAAGAAACGGAGGTGTTTTAGGGGGACCTGGGGGTGTGTTTCTAAGACGGCTAGGCTGCTCATTACACTGATTTCAAAGCAATAAGCAGCTGACTGTGCGGCTGCGAGGGTGACATTCGAATGTCAAGATTCAAATTCTGTTCTGTGCACTTGGTTTCTGTTCAGCTCTCTGCGTTGGAACCTCCAACAAGTCCGATGCGAGCAACAGCAGAGTGGTCTACCTTGGACTGAGGAGCCCTGAGGAACCTAAACAGGCACCCCACCACACACAGGCACCTCAAAGATGCACAGGTTGCTTGCCTCTGATGGGCTCTTGTGCTGGATAAACCCTCTCCTTTCTCTAAAATCACATCCAGCTTCAGCAGAATCCTGTCCCTGCTTGATGGTCGCACGAAGTGAGCAGCTTGCTCCACGGGTCAGGAAGGCCAGTGCTGACCTTTACGTGAAAACAATGGCGCGTGCCAGTTGCCATCCAGTCACAGGAGAGAGATGGGGAGGTCATGGTGTGGAAATGCATGGAGGCTCTGACCCTTCTGGTGAAGGAATACAGACTTAAGAAATGAAAACTAACCCAGAGGGTCTCCAGAAATGGCCATTTCTTTTGCATACTCAGTTTAAGAAGCAAGGTGTGTGTGTGTGTGTACGGTGGTGATGGTGGCGGGGGTGTCTGGGTAGGAAAGGGTGGCCCATTCTCCTTGCAGAGAGCTCACCTCCTGCACACAGAGACCCGTCCTTGGGCTTAGAGCTGAATCACTGCCTCAGGGCTTCCATGGAAAGATGGGGTACTAGGGAGCTACAGGATGGACTTGAGAAAGGGTCTTGTCCCTGAGAAGGGGTGGTGATAAGAGAGGCCAAGGCAGATCCTCCTTTGAAAGAACCTGGATGCAACATGGGCCAGACCACAGTAAGAGGGCAACCCAGACCCCACATCAAACATGCCTGTGAAAATGGTCATTGGAGATACATGGCTGCATCCCCTGACCTCTCCTGCCCTGTCTCTTGGACCAATGAGCACTGTCAGTGGCCCCCTTCTCTCTCCAGCTCCCCTAGGTCTAGGCTTGGTTTATAGCTGCCTGTCCACCGACCGCTCTCCCCAAGTGGAAGGAGCTCCCAGAGGATGAGAATCTCTTCTCTGTCCCTCCCCTGCCTAGCTCCCTACTCCTTCCACTCACACTCCGTCCTGTGGCTGAGAGCACGAGGTGCTTCTCATTTGTGTCTGTTGACTGGCTACTCCTCAGGAGACCCAGTGAGCGACAGAAAGGTCCAAGGATCTCCATGGGTACACTACACACACCCTGGGTACTGCCAGGGAAGGCAGCCTGCACCTAGGTCAGACTGACCACAAGTTCCATTCACCCTGGGGTCAGCAGGATCAGAGACTCTACCCTAAACCAGATCCCTATTTAGGACCAAGACTCTCAAAGTAAACCCCACTGAAGGGCTTCAATCCGTTATCAAAAAGACACAAGTCCCCAGGAAGCCCTGCAGTGGTCAGCAAAGCACTACAGAGTGTTTTGTACACAGAGAACACAGTTATCTCAAAGGAAATCCAGCTGTGAAATGGTCAGCGTCATCCAGCCCTTAGGATTTACGGACCGCTCCCCGCTATCCCCGCCAATTCTTAATGACCCCACTCAATATGGCAGGAACTTCAG